CTATCTACCCCAACCCTAAAAAGATTCAGAAACCCTGCCTCCAGCTTCTGAGGCAGACTTCCATGTCGCACAGCCATCTGAGAGAAAAATATTCTCATCTCTGTCCTCAAAGGGTGACTCGTAATTTTAAAAGTGTCCCACCATTCTGGACTCACCCACAAGAGGAATCATTCTTTCCACACCCACCTTATCAAGACCATAAACCATTTTATAAACTGTAATCAAGTCACGTCTCTCTGTTCTAAACTCCAGTGGTAACAAGCCCAGACTGTTCAACCCATCCTTATTGGACACCCAATCATTCCAGGTACCAATCTACTAAATATCCTCCTAATCCACGTCCAATATGTTCACATCCTTCCTTAATAAGGAGAGTAAAACTTCACATTTGAAATGTGGTCTTACTGGTATGCTGTATAACTGAAACATAACTTAGTTACTTTATGTTCAATTCCTCTGGTAACATGGTACAGCATCCATTAAACCTTCTTAAGCACTTATGTACCTGCACATTAACTCTCACCAAAGTGAATAATTTCACATTTTCCCACATTATACTCTTTCTGCCAGATTTTTGCCTATTCGCTCAATCTATCTGCATTGGTCTGCAACCTATTTATATATTCTTCACAATATACTTTGCTATCCATCTTCATGCCATCTCCACTTAATGCGGCTGCCAATGAGAAAAAAAATCCATTTATGCATGCTCTCTGTTTTCTTCCAGCCAGCCAATCTTTTATCCAAGTTAATATGTTAGCCCGACAACATGTGCTATAACTTTGCAAAACAATGTTTTGATGTGGCACCTCACCAAATACATTCTGAAAATTCAAATACAGTACTTCTATAGGCTCCCCTTTATCTATTGTACCCCTTTAAATAACTCCAATAAAATGGCTAAACGTAATTTCCCTTTTGCAAAACCTTGCCTACTCTACCCAATTATGTTGCACTTTTCTACGTGCCTAGCTATAATCTCCTTAGTAACTAATTCAAAATGTGCAATGACAGATGTCAAGTTTCCTGTTCACTGCCTCCCTTCCTTCTTCGTGGATGGTTTTCTACTGTCCATTCAGATTGAACCTTTCCAAATGTAGTATTTTTTGCCAAGTTGACACCAATGCATCCAACCTCACATGCACCTCCGATGTGAAGTCCATCGGGAGTTTGTCCTCTTACAGATTGCTCTGGGAATCATATCTTGTGAATACTTTTCACAAACTCAGTCACCTTCTCCCTGTCTCCTGCAGACACTCGGTCAGGCTGGGATCCACAGTTGCTGCATGCTTTTGAGAGGACCAATCTTCGAGTGTTACCCAGCATTTATTGGCAGTCTCTTTGCCTATTAAAGGCAGCACCACCTACCCAGACCTCAGCAGAGGTTCAAACTGATGCCCTCGAGCATGGATTCACAAGACCGCTTTTGGAGAGGGGAGCTCTATGCAATAATATCCCTTCCTTACCCTAAGGTAGCGATAAGGTAAAAAGAAGTAATTCTACTGCATTTAATAAGACACCTGATATCATAAGATAAGCTCCAGAATACAAAGGACTGTTCCTAGGAGGAGTTCACCAGAGTCGTGCACATGTTTGAGTTCCACATTGGCCCATCAGAGGATTTACAGTACTTTGGTGATTGTTCTTAGTAACTGGAGTAAGAAAAAGCAATTAAGTTGAGCAGCCTGATAGTCTATCATTTATCCCAGGTATCATTCAAGTGGCAACGAAATAATATGTAACAAACATATTTAGTGTTCATCAAAACTGAGTCAAGCTTTTGTCTAAAACCTCACGTGGGATCCTTCCCCACTTAGCATCAGTGACTGAAACTGATGACAATTAAGGAGGATGGGCGGCAGTGAATACACCCAAGACACCCCAGACGGCTCCAGCAAAAGAATAACATACACACAGAGGCTGGACGAATTCGGATAAAGCTCTCTGCCATTATACAAGACCTTGGCCTCATTACGATCGAATAACAACCGAGCAGAGAGTGAACCCGAGATCTTCTTAGTCTACATAGCTCACACTAGAGTGGTTACAACAATTTATTAAGACCCAAATGCCCACCCAGCAAAGTTTAATCCTACATTGATCAGTAAGTAAAGTCACCATAATCCCAGTGATTAGAGAGACAGGTGACTGGTGGTGGTTTAACAGGAGGGTCACCATGCCTCAGGTGAGGGAAGAGGTTAAGAAAGCAGGTGACCTGAACTGGTGTGGGGATTGAACTCATGCTGTTGGTGTCAGCCTGTATCACAGACCAGTCGTCCTTTAGCCTTCTTGGTTATTTTCTGCACCTTGACTGTTTTCTGCATTTTAAACATTGATGCCGCTGAACTTCTAAGTCTCTTTGGACATCCACTGTACTTAACATCATACTATCCAGATAGTACCCCGATCCAACCTGTTACAATCCTAAATGGATAGCCTCATTCCTGGTTGCATTGAAATCAATCTCCCACAGTTTTGCCCATTCCACCTTGTCTCGTGATATCCCTTTGTGATCAGACATGGTAACTGAATAGAAACATTACCTATGTTTGCCTCTCCACAGATACTGATCATTACTTCCAAGAGTTATTTCAGATGTCCAGCATCTGCAGTATTTTGCTGTCATATTAGTGCTCAAAGCAGAAGGGGCTGAGGTCCTGAGATAAGAAACAAGGCAAAGAGACAGTGAGTGAGGAGAAGGAGAGAGGGAAAGATAAAAGGAAGTATATTTTGACGTCATCTATTTGGCTTATCTTCCACCCGTGATCCAGCTGTCGAGTTGCTAGAATGCAGACTTCTGTGGAGTTAATGTTTCAAGGCTCATGTTTGATATGGCTAAAGGATCTGTAAACTTCCACTGAGAGGACACAGGGGCACTGATCTGTCAGGATCAGTTGTGGGGTGGTGACAAAATTTGGTGGGGGAATGGTGTTCCATTATGGTGGCTGTGACTCCAGCTAGACATCTGCTGATTGAAGAATATTTCGAGTGGGCTACGTCAGAAAAGAGAGAGAGAGCACAAACTAGGAAGTGGGCTCATCAGCTGAGCCAAGATGCATAGATGGCTGAAGCCAGCTATAAATCAGACAGCGATGTTACTTTGTAGTTGGCTTTCCATCAAAAGCTGCATCAATTTTCCCTGTGACATATTTATATTTCCTGCCTGAACAATATAATTAAAGTACAAAATCGATCATCACGTGGGATGATGCAAATTAGAATTTACTGCTGTGAAAAAACCATCACTAGACAATTTGGTTTGCAAGACCAATGCACACCAACTCTCAACCACAATACAGAATGGAACTGAGCTCTCCCACCAATGTTACCCAGGTTTGCTAGCAATACCTCCCCCCCACCCCACTGAGAATGCAATATTTACTGTATCAACACCTTTGATACTTTTGAGTTGCACTCACCCATCGCCAAATGTGGCAGTATCTGACAATTTTTGAAATGGAAACCCATTTGATTAACACAACAGAAAATGGATTGCTTGAAAGCACAAGGATTGCGGTGGAGAGAAAAAGACAGGAATACATCTTGTGTACTCTCATAGCTTTCCTCATAAATGACATGCTTTGAAGGACAACAGCAGGAAATTAAGAAGTTGCTCACAAGATCGTGTTGGAATGTTAACACTTAAAAGACCAAATTGTAGGGTCTCGAGATCCTCCATTCTGCTCAACAGGCCATGAGAAATATGCTACGTTCAGAGGTTGAATGCCTCTCCTGCTGCCTATTAAGGACAGCCCAAACTTTACCAAAGAATGTCACTCTTCTTTCCACACTCTTTGTTATTTTCCTTTTCCTGTTGGGATGTCACACAAGAACCCAGAGGGAACTCACAACACTCCAGGAGACCATGAAGTCGATGACCTGAAGCTTCTGAACTGAAGGAGATGGGAACTGTATAAAAATAAAGGACATATGCCCAGGAGGGACCTAACCAAGACAAACTCTGCTGCTTGGAGTTCTGCTCACCACTGCCTCCAAGGTCCTCACCTTCGGTTCCATTTGCATCCATTCTGATGAAGAGCGTAAACCCGAAACGCCCCTCTGATGCTGCCTGACCTGCTGTGTTCCTGCAGCTCCTCTGAGCGAAAGTAATTTCTCCACATTTCAGTGTGAAACCACCGACTCCTTACTCAGAGACTGCGACCTGTGTTTCCGACTCTCCAGCTAAAGCGAAAACTTTTTGAGTTTCGGTCAGGGGTACATTTTCAACAGCCACACGAACGCCTCTGTGTTTATTTTCAAATCACCACCCTCCCTTGAATAAGGAGTGAAAAAAGTCCAATGACATTTTAGGCCTTTGATTGCTTAAGCTAAGAAATGGTCACTTGGTACGTTGATGTTGGGTACACAGTCAGTCAATCTGGAAAAGTTGGGGCTGCAATTTGAACTTACAAACCCTCCACTCTGCTGTAGAAGCTGACGCACAGAGCAATATTTAGCCCTTGATATTGTGCCAGTGACAACTGTGGCAGGCAATGATGGATCAACAGTTTGAAAATGCAAGTTACCAGACCATAATCTTAGCTGAATTCAGAAGTGACTGTTTTGCAAAACTTGCTGCTAATTACTCATCATTGTCACCTTAGGAAATGAAAATGGTGTCAATTCTTCTGTGTTTGATTATATGGGCCTGTTTATTATTGATGCTCACTGGGCTTGATTGGTTAAGCCTGGCTGTAGACACAGAGAAAAGTTAATAGGCCATTTGAAGGGCTTAGAGTGCAAGCTTGGAGCAAACAATTTAAAACAGAGTAAACAAAACATACACAGAATCTAGTGCGATGTAGAATATAGGACACAATGCACATTATAATCTCAGAGAGGAGCTGCAGTGAAAACAGCTCGAATTTGTCAAATGTGTTTATTTTTCAGAAGTATCAAACGATTATTGCAAATACTTTGCACAAACTGCTTCACATTTCCGTGCAGGTTACCGAAGGAGATGAGTGTAGCTGGTCAGAGTTTTCCAGCACATAGCCTACCTTGGGATTCCTTGCATACTTTCCCGTACGAGCATCCTTGACGAGGCTGATTTCCAGCAGGTCTGTCTCCTGGAAGTGAAATGACACAAAAAAAACAGAGTTGATGAGCAAAGTCATTGCATAATGTACATACTGCACAAAACCCTAGGCACCTTGACAAGCCAAGGCTCGCTACGTTTCAATCTCCAACTCAGAAAGTTTACCACCAACACAAAGTCACAGAGCACAGTGTGAAACACATTATGGAAATGCGTGATTTCACGTTATAATCTGCCACAGTTTCACAAAGTACCAAGGAATCAAGCTAACACTGTTTATCTCTCCATCGAATGACCTTTGACATGAAATAATAGATAGAAAAATGTGATAGTACATGCTAAGCACCACATCCAACTGCAACAAACATCAGTAAACACAAAAATAACATACAAGTGAAACTTCTGGTTCTTTACCATTGAATCCAGGCAGTAATCATATTAACAGCCCCATTACGTGAATCCTACCTTTGGTATAACTTCTATTTCTCGCAATACAAACAGTTTCTCAGGATTTGGAACCATCTGCTGTGGCAGGATTCGAGCCCAGGTTCCCAGAATGTTATGAGTCTCTGGATTAACAGTCCAGCGATAATACCACTCGGCCATGGCCTCCCCACCTTTGGACTGAGGAAGTATCACCGGACCCGAAACATTAACTCTGTTTTTTCCTTCACAGATGCTGCCAGACCTGCTGAGCTTTTCCAGCAACTTAGTTTTTCTTCCACCTTTGGACTCCCCTACTTTGGCTATTCACCCTATCCATGTCCCTCATGATTTTATAAACCTCTATAAGGTCACCCCCCAGCCTCCTACGCACCAGGGAATAAAGTCCCAGCCTATCCAGCCTCTCCTCATGACTCAAACCATGCCGCCGTCTATTCTGCGTTTTTAGCTGTGAGTCCTCGTAAGATTAGCAAGCACAGGAGTAAGGGCTGAATACATTTGACTCTCAGTAATGCCAGTGGAAAAGCACATTACTATCAGAATGCTTGATGTGGTTAACGCTGTGAAAATCCCATGCATGAAATATTCAGTTGTTACACACCCAAGGCATTGCTTTAAGCCAAGAAACATAAGCAAGCTGTGTCCACCACAGGGGTCCCATGGATTCGAGTTCACTATCCTATTGCCACTGTTGCAGCTGCTCTGGATTAAGGAGCCACATTCCCAGTTGCAACCTGCTGCTCTGTTTATAAGTGAACTGCCGCTGTGCAAAAACCCTATTCCTCAGCCACCCTTCACTTCACTCTTGGAGGGGAGTGCTCATGTTGGAGAGTAATCCTTAAGACATTGTCTGGGTGAGCAGTTTGTAAACCTGGATAGCAAATGTAAGAGCTATCTTTGCACAATGCCAGGTGACTGAGAGATGGATGATAGCCTTTGTCTAACCTTAGTCCAGGGACAGTGAAGACAATTTTGACTTTGTAGACAGACAATAAATTAAATGAATTCCCTTGCATACACAGCATGATACCGCAATACCCAATGCATTGACTGAGTCATCACACTGGGAGAACAAATCTGTATTTCAGGAATCCCACGTACTATGGGGAAAATGATGCAACTGTCAGGCTAGGTTTTGTATCATTTTAGACAACACTGGCACCTGTCTGATGACGTGGAAAATTACCCAGATACATCCTCTGCACAAAAAGCAGGACAAATGCAACTGGCCCAGTTATTGCATAATCGGTTTGCTCTTAACCATCAGCTGAGCAACGCAAGAGATTGTTAACAATGCCAGTGAGCAGCAAGCTGCTCAGTGATGCCCAGTTTGGGTTCTGCCAGTGCCATCTGACTCTTGACCGTCTTGGTCCAAACATGAACAATGGAGATGAACTGGGGCAGTCAATCTGACCACCTTCAACAACAAGGCAGCATTTGTCCGAGTGTGTCATCAAGGAGTCTGAGCAAAACTGGAGTCAGCAGATTTGTGGAGGCGAATGACACCAAGGGATGTGGACACAGGACAGGAGAGTGGCAAGATCGAGCAGACTCAATGGGCTGAATGGCCTACTTCTGTTCTAATATAAATACAGCAAGTCAGCTAATGCAGACTAAGTTCCACCCGATCTGAAGATACAGGAGGACATGGGGGGAAAACATCTTAGGGTTTTTTCAGTGGAGACCCATATCCGCAGGTCTCCTCATAGTCTTAAAGACAAAGTCCAACTTACTAATATGCATGATTGCTATCCTGCAAGAATTGTTTAAGGCAAGAGTCTCTTCTTGTTATGACTTATGAATGGTTCTTCCATGATTATGATAAAGCAAGCAGGACCTTAGACCACGTTACTGAAAGAGGATGGTGACAACATAACACCCCTCCCACAAATTGGGAGTGGCTGGCATCGCAGTAACATAGAGAAGGAACTGAATCCCAAGTTGGGAATTCTGCATCGTGAGAGTCATTCCAAGCCATTCTCCTCTGCTTGCAGATGGCTGCATTATTATTAACACAAGCAGGAGCTGTCAACCTTGGCATGGTGGGCATGACAAGAGGGTTAGGGCAACTGGTACCAACCAGGAGGACAATTAGCTTGAACCAAAGGGGGGAACAAACACAGACATACATTTCTGTACTAACCTCAATGTAAAAGCGAAATTCTGTTGGTGTGCCAATGACAGCTTTGGCTAACTAATGAATTTGAAATTTGCTCTGCTATTTACAAGTGAAATTTATGGTACTCTGCTGTCAGTTCATCACAACCGGTCATTTCAAGCTATTACCGAAATATGGACAATGTGACATTGCACAGGTACAACCTAGGAGTTCCATTTCATAACTCAAGCTCAATCAAGGTGGAGAGAGAAAATCAGAGAAAGAGAGAGAGAGAGGCAGAAAGTGACAGAGAGTGAGAGGCAGAGCATTACAGAGAGAGAGAGAAAATCAGAGACACACACAAACACACGTAGAGATAACAAGACAGAGATACAGAGAGAGGAAGAGAGACAGCGAAAGACAGAAAGACACACACAGAAAGAGAGAGAGAGAAAGACTGAGCAAGATGTTATATAAGATAATGGTTCTGAAAGTGTTAAAAGTCATGTTACTCCAAGCTCCACCCAATCCAATAATGTCAAACAGCTTTTGGGCAGAGTTTATTGAGTTCTGTACAAGGACCCAAAGGGAGCAGGTATATTCTGTACAGCTCATGACAGTCATTAGTACTCATGCCTGAACAGGTTTCTAAACTGTACCCATTAATATTCTCCAATAAACTACCTTGTTATGTAAGGCAAGTGCCTCTTCTGTTTAGACTCACCAATGATCGATTGCCACTTTTATTTGAGAGGTCTGAGACACAGCGTAGAGAAAAGAGGCAGGAAATTACCCAAACCAGAATACTACCTGCCACAGACAGTGGTGCAGGAAAGTATGAGGGAGATAGAGAGATAGAGAGATGTAGAGACAGGGAGAGAGGGAGAGAGAGAGGGAAATAGAGAGAAAGAGAGAGCGAGAGACAGAGAGAGAGAAACAGAGAGAGAAAGAGTGAGAGAAAGAATGACAGAGAGAAACAGAGAGAGAGATTGATGAGCATTTCTGTGGTTTTCAATGTGTTAGTCTACCTGACATATACCGCAGAGTCAGGCTTTTGTTGAGAGAGATGTCTTGAAGTATATTAACAACACAACTACAAGATCACATGCTTTTGCGCAGTTTGGATTGTGTGGTTACTCATGCTATTATACAGGTTTAGTGACTGAACACAGAGACAGTGACTGAAGGGGAGATGGAGTTCTGAAGAAGGGTCACTGGACCCGAAACGTTAACTCTGATTTGTGTCCACAGATGCTGAGATTTTCCAGCAATTTCCGTTTTGTTTTTGAAAGTGAAATGGATACTTTTATCACATGTCATAACGTCTTGGAACTGTCCTAAAGACGTTATTAATTTATTGTTACTTAGACATACAGGCCTATCTGGTCTGGTTTCTAAGCCATAATGTGACAGGCCCGAATGCAGTAAAGTCGTTGTAGTCCTGCTCTCTAATGAGAGAGAGAGAGAGATGGACGACTGGTGTTGGGTTTAACCCGAGGGGTCACCACGCCTCTGGTGAGAGGTGAAGTTGAGGAGGTGGGGCCTTCATGGTAACCTCAGATGGTGTGGGAATTGAGCCTGCACTGTTGGAGTCACTCTGCATTGTAATCCAGCCAAATGACACACCCCCACCCCCCACCAAACCATTAATGAGACACTGAAACATAGAAACATAGAGGATAGGAGCAGGAGGAGGCCATTCAGCCCTTCAAGCCTGCTCTGCCATTCTTCATGATCATGGCTGATCATCCAACTCAATAGCCTAATCCTGCTTTCTCCCCATAACCTTTGATCCCGTTCACTCCAAGTGCTATATCAAGTCACACATGTTTTGGCATCAACTGCTTCCTGTGGTAATGAGTTCCACAGGCTCACCACTCTTCGGGTGAAGAGATGTCTCCTCATCTCCGTCCTAAATGGTCTACCCCGAATCCTCAGACTGTGACCACTGGTTCTGGACACACCCACCATCGGGAACATCCTCCCTGCATCTATCCTGTCCAGTCCTGTTAGAATTTTATAAGTCTCTATGAAATCCCCCTCATTCATCTGAACTCCAGCGAAAACAAGCCTAACCTAGTCAATCTCTCCTCATATGTCAGACCCGCCATCCCCGGAATCAGCCTGGTAAACCTTTGCTGCACTCCCTCGAGAGCAAGAGCATCCTTCCTCACAAAAGGAGACCAAAAATGCACGCAGTATTCCAGGTGTGGCCTCACCAAGGCCCTGGAGAACTGCAACAAGACATCCCTGCTCCTGTACTAGAAACCTCTCGCAATGAAGGCCAACATACCATCTGCCTTCTTTACCACCTGCTGCACCTGCATACTTACCTTCAGTAACTGGTGCACAAGGACACCCAGGTCCCGCTGCACACTCCCCTCTCCCAATTTACACCCATTCAGGTAGTAATCTGCTTTCTTGTTTTTGCTTCCAAAGTGAATAACCTCACATTTATCCAAATTATGCTGCATCTGCCATTGATGTGC